TGGCGGACGTCCCGGATGTCATCGTGATCGTGGCGGACTACTCTATTAATATGTCGCCATTCCTCATCCTTCTTGGGATTAAAGTGTGTGAAAGTTCCACCTTGCCAATCCACTAATTTCGTAAGAGATAATATCTAGGATTTGACCAGAGTATGATTTTGATACCTTCTGTGCATAGATTTGACTGAACTGCTAGGATGAACTTCATGGTATTTTTTGGAGCTCTTGGCCTTGTGTGTATAACATTTGCCAGGAACGCCAGAATGTGGCCAAAATACCATTCACCAAGAGGTTTGGAAGGGTTATTTGTTTCAGGCTATCAGTGTAGTAGAGGATGATCTTGCAAATGGACCTTGAAGAGCGGTGTAATTCCATGTTTACTATCATTTATATGGAAAGCTAAAGCTCCATTATTATTTTTTTCCTTCTCTGCCTCTCTTGCAGGTTTATTGTACATGACCAGACAACAGAGACAATATCGATGCTTGTTGATGCAATTGTGCCTGAGGGCTTGGAGGAACAAGAAATTGAATCAGACGAAGAGGAGGACAAGGAGGAGGAGGAGGAGGAGGAGGAAGATGAAGAAATGAGTGAGGAGGAAGATGAAAAAAAGGAAGAGGATGGTAAAGGAGAAGATGAAGGTGATCCCCTGGATGAGATAGATATAGGTGATGATGAGGAAGACATGGATGATGATCAAGATGATGTAAGTGATGAAGAAGAATCAGCAGCTGCTAAGGACATGACTGCTAAGCTGCGCTTAGAACTGGCACTTGCACAAGGAGAACATGAGGTTAGAATTAGTGTTGAGTCACAGTTCCTATCATTAGTTTTATTACTTCTTTTCAGTTTTTTTTTTTTTTTCACTTCAAATTCATGGTGGAAAGCATATTTTTTTTCTTTCTTTCTTTTTTATATCTTTCTGTTATGGAAACCAGTGTGAAAGATAGTACAAAATTGTTCATTTAGAAACCCAAAATTATTCCATAGGATGTAGCAGTTTTCCATTATCTTGATGAGAAGTAATACATTTTATTAATTTTTTTCTTTCTTTCTAATAGGATATTGATTTAGATGAAGCTCCAGAGGAAGAACTGGAAAAGCTGGACATAGCAATGTCCGCAATTTTTGCAAAGTACCGCGGACCTAAGAAAGGAAAGAAGGAACCAAAGAAGAAACTGAAAGATATACATTTGGAGTGTCGGTAAGTACTTCATGAGGACTGTGTTACCAGTGATTATGCTTATTGAATTAATCAAAGATTTTATGACAGTACAGTTAACAATAATCTCATTTTCAGTAGATATTTGTATTCTCTCTCTCTCACTCACTTGAAAACAACCAAAAAATAATGATGAAAATTAAAATTAAAAATGCAAATTAATTACATCCATCCCATCTCTCCACACAACCCCAACAGTATGCTCAGTGTTTCCTTTTTTAATCGCCTCACAGAGCCTATGACATACTGGAGGTGTACATTGAGCAGCACCCAAGCATGGGGTTCACTCTTGGCTTGGTACGGCCTCTCTTGGTCACTTTGAATTCTCTAGCCACCACGAGTGAAAAGGGCGAGAAGAAGAATGACACCAGGATCATGAGGTTAAGGTAAGATTGGTAGATACCAAGATGTATCAAGCTTATAGTCACAGTATCCCCATCATATTCTATTTTAGGTGTTAGTCATAGATATTTATATACATTTATATACATTTGGCTGTATATAACCACAAGTTTGGTAACCATGGGTTCAACTAAGTAAAGCCAGGTTGTCACTCTATGCTAAATGTACTTAAAGTTGCAAATAAATGGATGTGTAGGAAGAACCTGTTGAGGCCTCCTGCCATTTCACAGATTCTCATTACCACTTGTTTTAGTTCATAGTCTTTGCTACTTTTACTGTGTGCATCCTCCATTTCTAGGAAATAATTGTTCTTGATGCATATCTTGTTCATAATTGAGTATATTGTTTAATCATAGCTGCAGATTTTCAGTGTATTATTTTTTTGTAATTTTTACATTTCTGGTTTGATTTTCAGGAAACTGCTTGATATGTTGGGAGAAATTCAGAGTTTTGAAAAAGTAGATATGAATATTTTAGAAATGTCTGAAGAACTTGAAACCTTTGTGACCAGCACCATTGATTGTGAGTATGAAAGTGGGACTTTAATATCCATTAAGAATCTTTTGGTACATTTGGTTAAGAAAGTAGCATATACTCTTATTTTCATGTGAAATTTGTAGAAATTGAACTGTGATGGGCTATAAGAATTAGGGGTATGTCTTCCCGCAAATGTAAATATCTTTATTTACTTTTTGTCCTTTCTGAGCCATCTTCAAGATGCATGGGGCAGTTTGTTTTACTCTGAAATACTAGGCTAACTCCTATGGCTGTGGATTTTGCCCATAGAATGTGTATGATTCATACTGAACAACTTGAAAATAAAACAGCGAAGGTATGGACAAGAAAAGACACAAATATGCAGAAGACCTTTTTACTTTATTATATGCCCTGAAGAAGCAATAAAGCAGAAGGGCCTTAAACTTATTTGTGTTTCCTTGTTCTTCCCTTTGTTGTTTTATACCCATAGCATCCAAAGCCACATGCTAGAAGGGCAGGAAACATGTTTCTCACAGTCTACAATTTTGGCTGTGACATATGTGGTCTTTCAAGAGATGAGTCTAAAATGAGACTTGCATATGGGCTCTGTGTGTCATATGACAAAAATAAATCCTACCCAGTGTGAATGTTTGTTTGTGGAAACATTATAGGATCCCATAACACATTTCATAATTGCATAATTTTGTGAAGACAAGGTAAAACTGGCAAAAATAGCTTGGGTTTTTTTTTTTTTTGCGAGTTAGATAAACTTTGTCCCTTCTTCCTATTTGAAAATTACATAATGAGGAAAGTCTTGGAGGGGCAGGTTATTTTTCACTTGAAGAAAACATACATTGTGAAAGAGTAATAAGCTGAATTCAAAACTTGAGAAAGAAGAAGGGGGAAAAAAAAGTAAACATTCTCCTTGAATTTTTTGAATGCAAGTATTATCTTACATCTTTTTCTTTCTTTCTCTGTAGTTCCTAATGAGTTTGTGATCTTGTATTTGAACTGTTTTCAGTGTCTATTAAAGCTATAATTATTTCTTACATATATTATGTTATAATTCATTTGAGATTTGTCTTGTAATATTTCAAGATATGTTTTCCTCTAATACAGTCACTCCTTATTGCAGATAAGTTTGCTCTAAGCAGATATATAGCAGATTGCCACACCCTGATGATAAGGTGCTGCTTACAGATATTGGGTGAAGCTGCACACCGGAGCAACCCAATCATAGATTTATTTTCAGAGCATTTATTCTTCATGCTAAACAAGAAGTTAGTATTTTAGAACCTTTTATTGTTGTTGAAGATTTTTTTTTTAGGTAGAAGTACTGTTATAATCTATAGTCAGATTTGATTATGCATACAAGTGTGTAGACATAATTGACCCCACTGCTGTATAGAGCATATGATTAACATGACTTAATGTGTTCATAACTCTTGCTTTAAACATTTATTAAGTGTATTGGCAGATTATTGTAATATTCTTGTCATAGGTTTTATTTTTGGCATATGTTAATTCAAGATAATTGATGATGTATAGTAATAGTCTTTTGTTTAGTCATGGTGTCAGGTTTTGATGGTACTAAGTCCTCAATGGGATGATCATAGCTGTACATTCATTAAGAAACCTATAAGCCCCAAATCTGTTTCCTTAATGGGATAGCAGGCATAACTGCAATTATTTAGTCCTGAATATTCACCCATCTTCAAATTTATTCCTTCTAACAACTCCCTTAATTTAGAATATGTCCAACAAACAAGAAACAAGAAATGCATGCCATGTCCTCTGTGACTTCAGGTTGTTGTGTTTACACTCACAGGTACTAAGTTGTCAAGGAGTCATTGACTAATCTTTTATTGCTATTAGTATTTCAATTACATTGTGATAATCATAATCATAATACTAATGATAGTATAAATATTAAAGGAATGAGGAAATTGGGTGAGTCCACATAGGACCTACCAATGGAAGTGAAAATCCAGGAATACATAATGCATGTCCCTTATCCCATAAAAGAAACTTATTTTGAGCCTATTTATCATAGGGGACAATATATGCCCATATAAGTTTGAAATTGAGGTTAACTCACTTTCATCCATGGGAACTAATACCCTTCCTAGCAGATCCTATAATGTTAGTCAATTATGTAAATTGTGCACCTGTCTGATATCTTCCATATTTTTCATTGTAGAGAAACAGAAAAGAAAATCCTTATGTATGCTGGAGCCTGCTCACTTGACTGGGGTGCCCTTTGGAAACTGGTGAAAGATATGGTGGACTTTGCATTTGAGAAAAATAACAAATACTTTGGGAGGACAAATGCTCTGACTGTCCTCTCACTTCTGTTCAAAAATAAAGCTCTCTTCAGTCGAACCACTACTGTTGAAGTGAAGCAGCTCGGAGAAGCAGTGTCTCAGATTCTTCTTGGAGTAAGTGTTCATTTACCAGGATATGTACATGTAGTTTGAAATATATTGTTCATATTGTTCATTTTGTGTATTTTTATCTAAATACTCATTTAATATCAATATATTCTTGTATTTTTGTTTTTGTTTAGAGTATATTCATATATTTTAACTTGGCTGTGTGTTACAACCTTTTATATGAGAAGCAGAGATAGTAATTAAAATACGTTTCTTTGTAGATTCTCAAAAGGTTCAACCTTAAACAGCAAGCACGTTTTGTGTCTCGTCTATTTGAATTTATGATTGTCCTGAGAGAGGTAAGTCTAATGTGACTTATTATGTGATTCTCTAAGATTAATTTAATGAAAACCTTGTTGCAGATTTGTTCAGAATGATATATACACACAAGCATGCACGCATATTGACACGTACCCATGCACATACACACACACTATCTATTGATTAAATTTAGAAGTTTCTCCCATTATCCCTTGCAAATTAAACAATTATTATTCTATGAAAACTTACCAGAGGTTAATTAAATATCTTTTTGAGCAGAATCATAGGGATCCGGACACTTCAGGAATTAGATGGGAGGAGATCCTGGTTGCAGTAAGAAATCTTGATAAGGAAATTCCAACAGCAAGTCGATCACCATTGAGGGTCTATTACAAAGAATTGGTCAGGGCACTGCATAGGTGAGTTAACTCGCCCCAGTGTGAAAACCTCCTTTGTCCTTAGTAGTGGGGGGGATTGATTTATCATTATCTCAAAAAGCTAAAAGTTCTTCAGCCTTGGCCAGCTTTCAGCAAAGAACTTGCCTTTGAATAATTATTGTCCTATTGTTGCATACAGTTTTGACCTAGTTAGATCCCACTGAAATCAGGGATTCAAACTTTGTCTTTATTTGAAAAGTTTTTTTTATTTTGTTATATATAACCCATCCATCCCGGGTGTCACATATATGAGACACAAGGAAAAAATTAACAGTTTCGGCCTGCCCGCCAGTTCCGATGCCTGTCTCGGAGCCCGTGCTCTGCGGCAAAAGCGGCGGGCGGCCGGCGCGGGCCGGACAGACTCCGGGGAAGCTCCGCCCCCGATTTTGTAGCTTCCCGGATTTTTTTTAATTTGGTCTACAAAATGTACCCGGCGTGACTGGGTTAAAGTGAGTTGTTCATGAATGCTGGAATTTCAGAGATCCTACTCAGCAGGCTGCAGACTCAGAAGGTAAAAAGAGGAAGTATGAAGAGGAGGAAGAACGCAGGACCCAAAACAAGAAGAGAAAAGAGCTGGCAAGGAAGAAGCAACAGGCAAAAAAGAAGAAGGCAAAAGAGTTAGCAGCTCAAAAGGGACCAAAGAAATTCCTCGGCAAGAAGGGTAAAGTGAAGAGAAAACGAGCAAGTCAGAAAAAAAGGGCAAGGAGATCAGAGGCGTAATCATCTCTGAAAATAGTGCTTTGTTGTTTCTTTGTAAAATATATGTTGTATTAGAACATAAGCTATATGTATGAATAAAATGAATAATTATTGTTAACAATTATTTAGTTTGTTTCATTTGTGTACTTTTCCTTATGTTGAAAAGTCCAGTTTGCTTTAAAAACAACATACTATCTCCAGACACAAAACTGCTAAAAAGATTTATATGGTATTTCTACAGTACAAACCTGCATTTGGGCTTACAGCAAGCCAAAAAGAGCTTTGATTGCCTTTGGCAATTCTTTATCAATATTCAGAGAATTTTCTAATTTTACTCTCAAACTTAAATTCCTCTGGCCATGTCAGTTTCTGCAAAGGTATACTTAAATATTGCATCAAAGAGGGATTCTCATATCCATGGAAGCAGTAAAAATAAATACAGGATTGCAAATTATGTTTTTATTATATGCAGCAAATATTACAGTATCACATCTTATACTGAGGTAATGGTTAGGTAATCTCAATAATAATATTAATACAAATTAATATTAATAATAATAATAAAATAATACTACCAATTATACAAAAGACTCAATCAGTGTGTTTGGCTTTCCTTTTCCGAGCAAAATGTGAAAGTGTGAACATAATCAGAGCCATTGTAATAAGTGCTAAAAGCCTTTTGGGCGTAAAAATGTCATCCATCGACTTGATATCAGAGAGCATTTCACCGGCTTGAACGCAAAGAAAGTTATAAGGCAACAGACCTGAAAATAAATGCGTAACATTAGCAATAAACTTTTTATCAGACTAGCATTTGTAGCATCTTCAGTATATAAATTCCATAAATAGTATATATCATTATTGTATCGCAATAGTAGTCGTTCCCAAATTTTCCTAAAACTCGCATCCCGAGATCTTTTGATTAAATCTTCCTCCCCTGACAACACTAACATTAGACTTACATATGATATAGTCATATAACTCACTCATCACTACTATCCTTAATGACCCACATACAATACTAGATCAGAAAGACGTATCGTTCCTATGAATTCTTACATAACGCAGATATATCAACTCTATACTGCCAAAGGGTTGAGAAAGAATGAATTTACATTAGTTGTACCTTTCACCCCAGGTTAGTAACCACTACTCAGCGGTAGGAAACGAGTTGATACTAACCAAAGAAGACCGAAAGGAAGAACATAAGAAGTGGCACATTTACGTAGGGTGCCATGATGTTCAACAGCCAATTTGGAGTCATAGGGAAAACTCGCAGACTTACTAAAAAGAGGAAAAGTTGGTGTTCATTCTCGGAGATCTGTAAGACAAGAAAATTCCTTTAAAAGACAATTCAAATTAAGATCCATGTCATGTGTTCATTTTCTATATTATACGAAATAAAGCTTTAAATATAAATGCTACCTACCTTCTCTCTAAACCAATTTATTTTTGTTGCAAACTTTCGCTGGATGATTTTCTTTCCCACTAACCGGGAGAGGAGAAAGCAGTTGGATGCCCCAGTTGCTGTTAGGACACAGCATAATGGAAAGCCAAGAGGCCAACAACCTAGCAAGGCTCCACCAAGAAGATTCTGAAAGAGAACACAAGTAATAATTTTTTATGGAAAATTTTCTACCATGTCAACATCTAAGGCCATTATCAGCACATGAGTAATAAGCTTCCTTACAGAATTTACATACATTTGCACTGGTATGGATTACTGATACAAGGAAACACTTACCAACAGTGCAGATCCTGGTATAGCAAATGTCTGTTTATATATATATGCTGATGAAAACAAGAAGACAACATAGTACCAGTGATCTTCCTTGTATGCACTTGAAACTCGTACCAGTTCTCGAAGATCATCTAAAGACTTTGGGAAGTGCAGGTCCTACAATGCAAGAAGTTAATTTCATGATGATTTGTAATTTCAGTATGCTAGAAAATTATACATATACATATTGACCCTCACTATTGACACAGACACTGGTCCAAAAATATTAATAATTCAGGATAATTATTTAAAGGTGGCAACCATTAGTTAACAACACCTACCGCTTGGAAAACTGACCAACCACCAGCCCATATTATTTGCAATTACCAAAGCTGACTTACAGTAACTGAAGCTGCTATATCACTTGCTTACTAATATTTTACCCCAATATATACCTCCTAAGCAACATGATTTTGCCGTCACTGGTTTGGAAAATCCACTATTCCTGCATCTGTCTCGTCCCAGGCTGCCCTACTAACTAGGTTCAACCTGTACTAAAAATAATCACAATTCAGTCACACAAGGACACAATAAACAAAAATACAATCAATGTGTACACACAGCTAACATGCAACACTGCCACAATAGAAAATAAAATTTTATAATTAAACTTATTTCTATTTTGGCAGTATTTATCTTATAATGACATGAATTCAAGGTTTTACTTGCTGTTCAATTTTTTTTTCGTCTTCAAATATTGCACAAAAAGAACTCCGCCACTTCTAACAGACTTTACATTGAACAACTCTGCTTCCTAGCTTTCTAATAAGTAAAACTTTATCAAAAAGGAAGTTCTAAAATCATCATTCCTGTAACCAGAAATTACAATAATAATATTCTGACTTTATTTGATGGAAGCGTACAAGAGGCAACTAAATGAACAGAAAATAAAAATAGAAGGATGGCAGTCATTAATCCAGCCTGTTTATGTGTCCAGGTAGCAAGGAGTGCAAGGGATGTAACCTACAGTATACCTTGGAGCAAACAGCCAAAGAAATGACCCTAATCAAGGAATCCTTGCGGGTAATTAGCAGGGACATTATGCTTTGTGTAGGTGGAAGTGGTGGCATGTTTATCTGTACAATATAATATATATGTAAGTGTTTATGTACATGCAAGTATACAAGTGCGTATCTATACGTACATACTGTATGTTTACTCATGTCTGTATCATTACATATGTGTATTATTATTTTTATATTGTATAAAACATTCCAAAACATTCAGAGTAAGACCATATACTTACAGGAGTGATACCATTCCTCAATGCAGGTCGATTTGCAAAGACAAACCAAAGAAAAAAAGATGCTGCAGCAAAAGCAACAGGTGCAATTAACAGCCTTGCATAATCTCTCCTTCGTATGCCTTCCATTATACTGTAAGAATAAAATTAAAATTAAAGAACCAATTACTGCCATTCACCAATGTAAGTAATAAAAATAAACATAAAATTATTATTAGTGCTGCAATGTAGCCTAACTGATATCATTAGGCACACCTGCAAAGTTTTGATATTGAGAAACAATGAAAAAAATGTTTACTTTTGATTCTGCTATTAAGTTAATATGAATACTATACTCATGGGAATTAAACTTTCAGGTTACTCTTAAAAAAAAAAGGAAAAAGAAAAACAAAATAACAATAAAATAAAGAATCACCAAAAGATAGTCTATTTTAGAGGTAAAGTTAACATGGCTTTCAAAACATAAAAATAAATATCTGATTCTGTAGTAAATGACAAGGATATATTGTAATAACATCAATTTTCTATCTTTGTCTGAAACCTGTTTCCAATCATATCTTAAGTATTAAAATACCTTTTCACTTTGTAAAATTATTCAAGAGTCTGTTATCGTCATGTTAATAATATAAGATGAGGCAACTACTTAAAAATGATAAACGAGGTTTCTAACAAGCCAACTAATTACTTCATAAAAGAGATTTCTTAAAGAAAAGGAAGTAATCTACATCACCTATAAAGTTCTGCAGCTATGCCAGAGAAAATGTACTACACAAAATCAAACGGCTAAAATTATGCATCAGTTTTTTCTAATACAGAAATTGCAGATTGGAAGAACTGTCCTGTATTGGGACATCTTTGGTGAAACTACAAAAGGGACTACAGTAAAACCTAGATTTCCATTAAAGACACAAATCAATCATATATATTAAGTGCAGCCTAGGGGGGCCCTTTTCCCATTTCTTGATGAAAAAAAATCTTCACTACAATATCAACTCAGTATTTAAAGGTAATGAAGGGGAATACTCAGCTTCATTTCAGTCTGACAAGCACACAAATGGTGTACTGGCATTGTTGCTTGCTTGCAGCCAGTTATAAAGTCCAAGCATTTGGAGAAGAAATCCCAAATCAATTACATAGGGTTTCCTTAAATTGCTAAGTTGCATACAAGTGTAATGTCTGATAATAAATGTCTGGTCAATGATCCTTTTAATTTCTATATCTGTACACAAAAATCTGGAGAAGTAAGCTTGACATTTACAATGAACCCTGAAAATTTAAATAATACTGCCAAATGTATGTTGATTCAACCTTTAAATAGCTCACCTTTAATTCAAACAATACTTCACAGTGTTAAGTAAACTCGGTTCTATATATATATTCCATCTTATGATAAATCACTGAATAACAAGTAAAGGAAGTGACTGTAATTTTAACCAACGCCAGTTACTTGGTATTATATTTTGACTAAGGCTAAGTAAGTACCATGAATAAAACAAGTTTATTAATGCATTTTTTTTTACTGTTGCCCTGTCAGTAGTGTGTATGAATGGGAAGCAAATATAACAAAGGTGGTTGGTTATGCTGCAATCATCCTTGCTTGACTAAAGAAAGAAAAGTTATGAACCAAAGACTACCACAGATGAGGTCTACATTTTCTTACAATACCTCATTTCAGTAACTAGTTATATCATTTGTTGATTTTTATAAGACTTTTTACATATGGACAATGAAACTTCCTCAGTATTGTTGGATTAAGTACTGCAATGTATTAAAAAGTAAATAATTGTCAGACCATAAAGATACAGAAAATTAAAGTAATGCTTTAACAAAAAAAATTACTAGTGGCTATAGTGGTTACCATGCCTTCAGGATTGATGAAAGAGCAAAAATCTTTGCCACATATGTTCTATCACGACAGAGCTTTAATTTGACATTAAAAATTAACAATTCAAGTTCTATCTTGCTGAATATGCGGAGGTTTATTGACCTTTGCTGGAGTGTTGAAGGGCCTGGAAGCCACATCATAGCTGCACCATGACAAACCTCATGTTTAATTTCAAGTGAAATATAGAAAAAGTATATCTGACCATCCACAGGCTGTATAGCAAATACCCTGGAAGGGTATAATCACCACATTTTTGCCCAACTTATACTAGCCATCACTGTCAATTCAAATCTTATAAATAAGCTATCATTATAAAGTAGCATCCTTTTGGAACAGAGCAGGATTAACTTGTTTTTGTTAAGCAGCAGCCCAATAAGTGAAGGTGGTGAAATGCACTGATGACTAATAACCAGTGGATTAGTCATCTGATTGAAATGATACTTACTAACCAAAATCTTGCATGAAAAAACATTATTTCGTATTAAAATAAATTGCACAAAGTAAGGTAAGCCCAAAATTACTTATCTATACATAAAGCAATGCCTCATCCTCTGTGCTTTATGCTCAGGCAATGGTTACGTATCCTATCTCTTGTCAAGTTAGGGCCACTGAATTACTGTCAGTTATAGGCCTAGTCAAAGATCTATCTGCTAAAATATATGTAGTGAAGTTTAATGGGCCCTTGCTAAAAAGTAGAGTACTGAGACCAGGGTAACAGGCAGTTTTTTTGGGGGGGAAATAATTACCAAGGAAATTGAATCTTCATGAAGGTATAACCTTTAACTTCAATGCTAGACTACACAACCCATCAGCCATTTCACAGCAGAGAAATCAGCTTGCCTGAGAATGCTCTCATTGTAACTCACAGAACACAAATAACTTTTAAAAATAATCTAACACAAGATTTTGGTTAATCTTTACAGTATGGATGCAGTAAGCTAGGGCAAACTGAAGACGATATTTTCATAGAGGACAAAAAGTGAAGTCATCAGTACAAGAAATAATCTGTAGACATGAATTGTAACACCATAAATAAAGAAAAAAGATCAGAGAGAGCACCGCTCACAGCCTTAATCTACTCAGTGCTCCCAAGTTTCAGCTCTATATTGCCGTGCATAACAAAGTGAAGACAATGTTTGCTGGGAGGTGATGGGGTGCCGAAACTCTCAACAACCCTCCAGTCAAGTTGTACCCAAAGGGCACACACAATCACAGCAACTTAGATTGTTGAATAAATTTTGTGAAGTAGAGTTGACATTAACAAAGTGCATCCATACTGTAAAACATTACCAGATTTTAATCTTAAATAATTGCACCTTTGAAAAGTAGAAGGTAATGGAAAAGTATCAGCAACAATAATAGAAAAAAGATTGAAAAAATCAGTGAAAGATGTATTTCCTAATACCATGTTCTAAACAGCCACTTCAGATGGTAAAGGTTTATTGGTGTGCCCTGGAATGCTCACAGGAGCAGAAGTCATGGTAATTTTTCATGCAACATTGCTCTGGTTACTACTTTTCCTTTAACAGTTGGTTTCTATAGATTACAACTATCTCTGGAAAGTATGCATCGGGTACAATCCATCAATGTCAACTTTGTTAGTCGGTGATGCACTGCTATTGTTTCAAGTTACCAATTTTAAAGATAAAAGAAATATTCAAACAATTTAAGTTGATGAGTATATCCCATTTTTTCTTAATACTGAAGGGAACATCAAGTAATAATGCACATCAGCTGCATAGCTTTCCAGTAATTACCATGAATGAATCTCAATTTATTATGAAGGGAATAATATCTACTGATGAATTTCATGTGCATAGCACTCCAGTTAATACTCTAGAAATAAAGCAAGGATTTCATGGGTTGCGACAAATCTGGAGGAATTACAGGACACTACACTGTGTTTATTACACATGTGATTTTCTTATATTATTCCGACAAAATTAGTTAAATGAAGCGAACCCGGTATCTTATATTGTTTCCTTTAATTACGATCACAGTAGAACTGCATTTGTAGCTAAATCACTATCTTAATTTTCCTTTTACTGACCCAAAAAGACACTTCAGTATCTGACGACTACTCCAAGACAACTTCTATAGTGATAGACCGAAATGTGTCAGATTAGATATGGATTCTAGTATGGGTTGACATTTGATAATCAACGAAGATATATAGATATGCATTCGTTATCTATACAGTTTCTTCTTGTTCTGACTGAAAGCTTGAGTCATCGGCTGTGAATAACTTATGCCATCGAGATTTTTCGAAAAGGAGTCGTTGCTTTTTGTTCTGAAGAGTCTTGTCTCGTGCGGCACATGTCTGCCTTCCTCAATGGAGGTTTCGTCGTCGCGTCAAAACAGCTGATTCGTGTAAACAAAGACACACATCTTTCAAAAGTGAATAAAATCGCCCTAAAATCATATATTCACCATTCACGCAAACATCATCTTGAAACGCTCCTTAAAGAGATATGCACGTACAATTAAAAAAAAATCAAACCAAAGATAAGATAATAATGATCCCAATGAAATCGGACCCAATGTTGCATGCGGGGCCGACCAATGGCCAAATGAAGTGAAACTGAGCTGAGTTCCGATTGGCCAGCCTGGTCCCCGAGCGGCCATCGGAACCACCTGCCTGTGACATCACGGAGGACCTTCGGACTGGGACAATGGACGACATTCTGACAGGAGGTAAATGGGGAAACTAGGGCGACCCGGGTATGAATCGTGGAAGAGTGTGAAGTGCATGGGAATATGTTTGAAATGAGAGGGAAGTTAGGAGAACGAGGAAAACTGGAACATGATTTGGTGTTCTGGATGGCCAGCAGTGCAGGTTGGCACTAAGTCAAGGTTGTGCCAAAGTGCCAATCTTCATGATATTTAATACCATCGTACACGGCAGAGTATGAGCAGGAAATCAGAACTATTATAATATGTGAAATGTTGGAGTGGATATTGCCTCGGAAGTCCGTGTGCTCTCTCTCTCTCTCTTCTCGTTTGTTTTTCTTGTATTATTCAAATTTATGCTTTGAAATGTCCTTCTGCAACTTTTCGGTAAAGCATACTCATTAAATGGCAATGGCTTGCAAAATGGAACTTTTTCCTCGTGGTTGCACTGGCTATTTTCTAACTAGATAATAAATCCATTTGAAATTAGCTGTAGTCTATAATGAAAGATTGGAATCTTAACTTCAAGCTCATAGTAGTGAAGTGTCAAGTAATTGTTGCAGTCTCCATAATGTACACTCTTGCATTATGTAACTTGTACTGGTTCTTATTTTACAATAAATAACAAACAAGTTTTTCCAATTGGCTTGTAAGCATATGTAGAGGCCAGTAGCAGATGTGAGGGTGTATTAGGAAAATTTTCTTAGCTTTTTGTAATACTGGCAATTTTATAAATTGACCTCAATGTTTTTTATTATGTGATCTGGTTAAGAATGAAAATACAGCCTTGCTGCCAAATACTATAATGTTGGTGCCGATGGCCACCTCTCACTTCTCTTGTATTTGTATATAATAGAAATTTACATGTGCCCACCTCCAATAGAAATAAAATAATATGCATAAAAATGTATAGAAATTTACATGTGCCCACATCCAATAAAAATAAAATAATATGCATAAAAATTTATGAGGATTGTTAGCTAATCCTCCCACCCCTCTAAACCCTACCCTGGAAGGCAAATAATCTCTACAAGTGCAGATAGAGCATATGGCTAATCAGTAGGAGAGCTATTAACCATTGAGATCTCCATCCTGCCTCATAAACATGGAGGATTTTGTCTTCTAGGGCTGGGGTTGGAGGGCAGCAGCCTTCCCTTTTATAGGGGGTGGGTAGAGGTACAGTCCCTGTTATCTATAAATATGCCCTAGCTATAGGGAGAGGATCCATTACCCAAAGCTTGATGTAGAGGGGTTAAAGTTGAATAAAGTATCTGGTGCACAAGATAATCTTCTTAAGCTGAACTCATGACTAGTATGAAAATACTTTCATATATTTATTTTAGAAAAGGATGAAGCAGCAAGGTATTTGTAATCTTTTGGAGTTTATAAAGGCAGAATGTGGAGTCTAAGGTGAGAGACAGAGAGAGTGTGTTTTTTAAATTCTATTTTTAGACAGCAATGTGTGCTTTTATTCTCAATGTATGAAATTCTCATAGTTCAATATTTTTTGAGATCAGACAGGGATCCTCTCCCCTCTCCTCAGAAAATGTATATCCAGAAGTAAACAAAATAATTCCCAGGTATGATTTTTTTGGTTAGTAACCTTGGGAGATCTTAATGGAGACTGAAATATGCCATTAAGGAATAAAAAATTAGTTTGAATGCCATTAAAAGAATCTTAAGCAATTCATCTTGAAATTTTCTAAGATGAAAAATAAACATATTCATTCAGACTATTCTAACACATTG